CAAGAACCACTGGGCCAGGAAAGATGAAACTCATGTGGAATCATCCTCAGGTAGTGTAGATTCAAATTTGTTCAAATCATGACCCCCGGGGCTAGGGTGGGGCCAAAATGGCCCACCCAAGTTTTACATAGGAATATGTAGGAAAAATCTTTAAAAATCTTCTTCTCAAGAACCACTGGGCCAGGAAAGATGAAACTCATGTGGAATCATCCTCAGGTAGTGTAGATTCAAGTTTGTTCAAATCATGACCCCAGGGGCTAGGGTGGGGCCAAAATGGCCGACCCAAGTTTTACATAGGAATATATAGGAAAAATCTTTAAAAATCTTCTTCTCAAGAACCACTGGGCCAGGAAAGATGAAACTCATGTGGAATCATCCTCAGGTAGTGTAGATTCAAGTTTGTTCAAATCATGACCCCCAGGGCTAGGGTAGGGCCAAAATGGCTGACCCAAGTTTTACATAGAAATAAGTAGGAAAATTCTTTAAAAATCTTCTTCTCAAGAACCACTGGGCCAGGAAAGATGAAACTCATGTGGAATCATCCTCAGGTAGTGTAGATTTTAGTTTGTTCAAATCATGACCCCTGGGGCTAGGGTGGGGCCAAAATGGCCGACCCAAGTTTTACATAGAAATATATAGGAAAAATCTTTAAAAATCTTCTTCTCAAGAACCACGGGGCCAGGAAAGATGAAACTCATGTGGAATCATCCTCAGGTAGTGTAGATTCAAGTTTGTTCAAATCATGACCCCCAGGGCTAGGGTTGGGCCAAAATGGCCGACCCAAATTTTACATAGAAATATATAGGAAAAATCTTTAAAAATCTTCTTCTCAAGAACCACTGGGCCAGGAAAGATGAAACTCATGTGGAATCATCCTCAGGTAGTGTAGATTCAAATTTGTTCAAATCATGACCCCCGGGGCTAGGGTGGGGCCAAAATGGCCGACCCAAGTTTTACATAGAAATAAGTAGGAAAAATCTTTAAAAATCTTCTTCTCAAGAACCACTGGGCCAGGAAAGATGAAACTCATGTGGAATCATCCTCAGGTAGTGTAGATTCAAATTTGTTCAAATCATGACCCCCGGGGCTAGGGTGGGGCCAAAATGGCCCACCCAAGTTTTACATAGGAATATATAAGAAAAATCTTTAAAAATCTTCTTCTCAAGAACCACTGGGCCAGGAAAGATGAAACTCATGTGGAATCATCCTCAGGCAGTGTAGATTCTAGTTTGTTCAAATCATGACCCCTGGGGCTAGGGTGGGGCCAAAATGGCCGACCCAAGTTTTACATAGAAATATATTGGAAAAATCTTTAAAAATCTTCTTCTCAAGAACCACGGGGCCAGGAAAGATGAAACTCATGTGGAATCATCCTCAGGTAGTGTAGATTCAAGTTTGTTCAAATCATGACCCCCAGGGCTAGGGTTGGGCCAAAATGGCCCACCCAAGTTTTATATAAAAATATAGAGGAAAAATCTTTTTAAAAAATCTTCTTCTCAAGAACCACTGGGCCAGGAAAGATGAAACTCATGTGGAATCATCCTCAGGTAGTGTAGATTCAAATTTGTTCAAATCATGACCCTTGGGGCTAGGGTGGGGCCAAAATGGCCGACCCAAGTTTTACATAGAAATAAGTAGGAAAAATCTTTAAAAATCTTCTTCTCAAGAACCACTGGGCCAGGAAAGATGAAACTCATGTGGAATCATCCTCAGGTAGTGTAGATTCAAGTTTGTTCAAATCATAACCCCCGGGGCTAGGGTGGGGCCAAAATAGCCGACCCAAGTTTTACATAGGAATATATAGGAAAAATCTTTAAAAATCTTCTTCTCAAGAACCACTGGGCCAGGAAAGATGAAACTCATGTGGAATCATCCTCAGGCAGTGTAGATTCAAGTTTGTTCAAATCATGACCCCCGGGGCTAGGGTGGGGCCAAAATGGCCAACCAAAGTTTTACATAGGGATTTATAGGGAAACCTTTTAAAATCATCTTTTCAAGTACTTCAAAGCTATGATCAGTTATATTAATATGGAATCATCTTCAGGTAGTGTAGATTCTAGTTTGTTCAAATCATGAACCCCTGGGGGGTTAAAATTCAAGCCCCCCCCCCCCCTCCCCGTAAACTTTCATTTCTGATCTGATATGTGCTTTTTCCAAGCCAATGTGCTCAGGTGAGCGCTGTGGCCCCTGGGCCTCTTGTTTAAAATTTATATCACCATGTCTCATTCAAGGGAGAACTAGAGATATGACCAGATGTATATCTGTTGAATATAAAATATGTACATGTATTCTGTGTTTTTTTTTTTAGTAATTTGTTTGTTTGTTGTGACAGCAACTGTTATGGCAGCTTTTAGCAAAGGTTGAAGTTTCTCAAATGTAAGTCAAACTCCAAGGTCAAGGTCAAAGGGTCTAAATTGTTGGTATCAAAGGGAAAGTCTTGTCACAAGGAATACACATGTGAAAAAAGGGAGAAATCCCTAGAACTTCCTCACCTGTTCAAAAGTTATTGCCAAGGTTAAAGTTAAATTGGATTCAACTCTAAGGTCTAGGTCAAAAATAATTATACCTGTTGAAAGTTCACAATGATTACACATGTAAGAGCATGAAAGTCCTAGCACCACCTGTTCAAAACTTACGCCAAGTTCAGGGTATTTTTCTTGTAAAATTGGGTCAAAATCCAAGGTCAAGAGATCAAGAGGTCAAAATTGGTGGTACCCATTAAAAGGTTTTGCCAAAAGAAATTTACCTATGAAATATTCAAGCCATGTCTATAGCCCAATCCACTTAAAAAATATGGGCAAGGTTAAAGTTTCCGTGGACAGCCAAAAATACATAAACATAGGAAACAAAATATGTAAAAATAGTCAATTGAAAAAATTTTCTACTATTATGGAGTCCTAAGATCAATTGTCATTTCAGGTACAGGGAGTCAGTGGCTAGGGAGATCAGACCCCCCCCCTGGAATTAGCAGTTATTTAAATAAGACTATATATGTACTGTAGAGAATAAAAATGACTTTGGACATCCTCCCCCTTAGAAAACAGGGACTCCACCATCATTGTTTTTATTATTATTTTTTATTTCCATCTCAGGAAATCTTGGGCTGATTTTTTTGACTGAGGTTTGACACCCCCCCCCCCCCTTTCTGAAAAAAAAGAATTCTGGATCTGCGTCTGTTATATACTGAATGTCCGCAACGGGAGATAACTTGACAATGTGAAATTTGTCGACTGTGGCATGCGATGATCTTTGACCATGTTGACCCTTTTTGAACTTCAACCTAACCATTTGCATTTATTTATTTTTATGCAATCTATACTAAATCTTGTACTTACCAAATGTCATAGGTCGTGACAACGAATTCATGAAATATAATCCATACAATCCAATTAAAACACAAATGATTTTAACTGACCACACTGCATCGTTAGCATACATATGCTAAATAATCTCATTCGACAAACCTTTGCTGATTCCGTTGCCAGTATGAATTGGCCGAGGTGTGCCGAGAGGTGATATCTATAAATATGATAATGGGTGACGCAAACCCAATGTGAATGTAGAAAATAAAACTGTTTAGTACAAAAACAAATTTCAAACTATCATAATAAACTAAACTATGTTTTTTTTTTAAAAAATGTGAGAGTGAGAGAGAGAGAGTGTGTGTGTGTGTGTGGGGGGGGGGGGGGGGGAGATAGGCATTGACAAATTAATCGGGTTGTATTTTCAATGGGTTTTTTTCCCGACCAAATACTAAAATCAGTTTGCACATTTTGATAAATTCATCAAAAACGCTTTGTACTAAAATAATATTTTATGTCGTTGAGAAAGTAAATTTAAAAAGTTCCAAATTATGGGGAAATTATTTATTTGAATCTAATTAAGTAATTTACTTCAATCATTAATTAAATTCTGTTATTTCAGACTGGTTATGAATTAAGTATTTTAAAATACATATGTGAGGTTCAGAGTTGATATGGTCATCTGAAAATTTTATGTTCAATTTGACGAATACATGTACGGTGATAATTATAGAATTATTTTGACTTCTTCCTTGGAAAGTCCAATATGAATGAGTGTATATTTAGAGGCAAACACCATAGTGCGGGTATTACTGTCTCATGACAGCATCTAGTTATATAAAGCATATTAAAGTAATTTGGTGTCAAACAAATGTAACAAAAAAAATATATTAAAAATATACAGAAATAATTTGGCCATGAAGTAGAGTCATTCTTTACAGAAACCCCCATATTTAGCCTTGTCTCACTGGCATGAGCATTTGTTGAAGAGGGAAAAAAAATGTCAAAATTTAACACATGTTTAAAGCAATATGAGCTGCAACATTGATATAGGAATTTTTTGTTGCAAAATTGTAAATTACTTTCAGTGACATAATAAATAATGTTAATAAACTTCTGTTGTTCATATTTGCGATGGAAGAAGTATTTATTAGCTTTGATTTAATTAAAATTACATTATTGTCGTCCTGTACAATTACAATTTCTTATTTAAAACTGCATATTGGATTTTATAAACTATGTCTTTCTTCAGCTTAATTTTAGTCTAATCGATCATAAAGGTTTAAGTAACACACAAATTTATCATAATAACATATTTTAAAGGCAAAATAAAATTTTGAAAAGTACAGCTCATATTGCTTTGAGATTTCTATGTGCAAGACATTTAGCATTGTATTTAAATTAGCAGATGTTTTCGTCTGCCATAAGTACTAAAAAGAATACACAGCCAAATGTAATACGTACACAGTAAATAATATCTGTCATATCCTCCCTTTGCAATCTAAGATAGCTGTTTAAGCATCCTTCAGAGATCTTTGTTATCTGAGCTATCACTTCTAGCGTCCCTGTATTATCATTAAAATATCAGATATCTCTTAAAGCATCACTGTATGATCGTTAATATCTGAGATATCTGATGTATTATGTCTGTCTGATAAAGCAATCAGCAGACATTGAAATCCAAGATATCTGTTGTAGCTTGCAGGGGTGATAAAGAGATTAGCAGATTTCGCCAAGAAGCAAAAGGATTTGCCTTGTTTGTCTTATACACATTTACAGTAAGTACATTCATTTTTGAAGAAAAAGTATTGCAAATTTTATTTGCTGGACCCAGGTTTGGAATGATTTGGAGTGGGGGGGGGGGATATAATAATGTCAGGGTGGACTGAAAATATAATTTTTAGTGATTTTTTTTTTCTTTTATTGCAAACTGTTTAGTCAGCTCTCTAATTTGATTGTGACAACTTAATCTGTGGTCCAGACATTGACAAAACATCATATTTAATTTTGGTGATATTTTAGACCAGCTCAGCTGTCTACGGTGGGTAAGAGGGCCTGTCTCTGGATACAGGACCTGTTGATGGACCTCCGGAATCTGGAGAACGCCCGGGATAACATCAGGTTCAGGGGAGTGAAGGGCACCACAGGAACACAGGCTAGCTTTCTCACGCTGTTTGAAGGAAGACGAGGAAAAGGTTTGTTCTCAGTTGATCTGATTAAAATTGAAAAGAGGTTATCCTTATATTTTCTAGAGTGCTTTAAATCTTACACTCAGACAGACATCTTCTAAGGGAGCAATACCGTATAAGTGGAAATTTTAGCGAGATGCAAATTTAGCATTGTCCTTATAAATAGGTATTTTATTTTTAGCGAAATGTAATTTTAGGGATTTAAAAAAGCTCTCTTTAAGAAGCTATTACAACTAAAGTGCAATTAATTTTTAGCAATATTCAATTTTAGTGATCTTGGCACTCTTGCTAATAATGCCAAAATTAAATCCTTGCTAAAAATTCTGCTAATACGGTAGCTTGTCTATCATAAATTCATCGAGCCAGATTTAAATCCCTATAATTGTTCTCTTCATACGATTTGTTTAGAATGTGTGCAGTTTTTGCCATGACTTGTTTAATTAAATGTTGTAGGTATTGACTGTAACAATATAATGATTGAGTACATGTTTGGAATCTATTCCAGTTAAAGTTTTAGGAGTAGGTCCATTCCCAAGTACCTATAACATGTATAAGCCCTTCCTGCACAAAACTTGCATGGATGATGCATCTAGGGATTGGCACAACCAGACTTGCTTCAAATGCTTGATCTGACCTACATTGCCATGGTCGAAATTTACCAAATACTCGCCTATAAGTCGGTTTTTTGGGAGTTAAACTTTGGTCCAAAACTCTATGTCCGACTTATAGGCGAGATATAAAAAGACTGGTATTAGAGAGGGTCAATCTTTCTAAAATGAACTTCTAAAATACAACCGACTTATAGGCGGACCGACTTATAGGCGAGTATATACAGTAGTGACCATGGCAATGCTTTTGGAGTAGCTATATAATTTTATGACCCGTTATAATTTAAACTGCATGAATGTTGCATCTAAGGATGGACTATTCCAGACTTGTTTCAGATGTAGGAAATGAAAGACATTTTCTTGATCAGTGAACATGTTCAAGTTTTTGAAAACAGGTCAATTCCCAATGAACTATAAGACCTTATCATAAACAGAACTGGCATGAATATTGTTGTCAGAATGCAAACTTTCTATAAAAAAAAATATGATGTGAAATTTGCATTACTACTGATAACATTCGTCAAGGTGAGCTTTAAACTTATGATTATCTATGTTTTTAATTACTGTTCGGGTTGAAAAGCTTGATAGGCTGGTCACAGAGATGGCAGGATTCAAACAGTGAGTAACTATCTGAAGTTTATTTTAATATTTTTATTATTTTTTTTTTTTTGTACTTAAAAAGTAAGAATCTTAATTTATATAGACCCCCCTCCCACACAAAACTCTGTTGTTCTAATCAGCTTTACATTTTAAAAACAAATCCTCTTTTAAAAAAGCATTTATTTTAAAAAAAGCTCTGTTTTGAATAGTAAACATGCCTTTAACATGGTGACCACACAGAAGCTGTAAAAATGTGGGTTACGACATAAGAAGTCTTTCTTGATTTCTCTCTACTTTCTCTTTCATATTTATCAGGTTTGATGTCTTTGTTTATTGCTTATAAAATGAAGTATTTGTTTTAATTGATTCTGTTTCTTCATAGAACGTTTTACACTTTTTTAATGACAAACATATTTACGTGTTTGTGATTATTTTATCTGACATATCTTAACAAATTATGAAATATCTAACTTTTATTAAACCTCCGTAGGACGTATATGGTGTGTGGACAGACGTATTCCCGTAAAGTGGACATCGACAGTCTCAACGTATTGGCCAGTCTGGGGGCCTCTATACACAAGGTGATTCTCTCTATTGTTAATTTTACTGTGATGGTCGTACAAGCCAGTCTAGACGCCTCTATATACAAGGTCATTCTATCTATTTACTGTCAAAGGGTTGTCATTCTTATCTGATCCTTTAAGGTGCTATTTAAATTTGACATTTAAAAATTTAGAAAAAAATGAAACTTTAGGGACTTAATTTTAAGATAACAAATAATTGCATCAACTCAAAGTACCGTATTTCCAGGTTTTTTTCGTGTGTTGGAAATTTTGCAAAAAAAGGTAGATTAGTACAATCTTTATTCTGCGTAAGTTATTTTTTAAAATTGAAGATTTCTTGTTTAAAATTGTCACGTTATAGCTAACATATTTTCTGTGTGTTTTATATTTTGTGAATTAAAAATGATCGCATAAAATGCGAAAAATAGATCATCGTGAAAAAAAAACCGGATATACCGTAGGCTTTACAGATTTTAATTCTTAATAGTTGAATTTTTATGAAATCAAACTAGTTTATAAGGATTGTTAATGGATGGACAGGAAGAAGAGAATAAGAAATAACATATATGGCTTTTGTAGATATGTACAGACATCAGACTATTGGCTAACTTCAAGGAGTTAGAAGAACCATTTGAAAAAGATCAAATTGGTGAATAATTCTACCTTATTAAAATTTAAAGAAAAAAAAAAAGCAGGTCTATAAGATTAACAAGGTTTCTGTATGTTAAAGATCAAGGTGAAGGTCAAGGATAAATCTTTGATTGTGCCATAAATAAAGGTCAGATGTGTCATTCACAACATTGTTGTTGTTTTACAGGCTCCAGCGCCATGCCGTACAAGCGTAATCCAATGAGAAGTGAGCGTTGTTGTGCGTTAGCGCGTCACCTGATCTGTCTGGTACAGGATCCTCTGATGACGGCGTCCGTACAGTGGATGGAACGGACACTAGATGATAGTGCTAACAGGTACAGGCAATTCAGTGATACATATCAAAATAGAGCTGTATGTATTACAAATATTTAAGCATTGAATTCATATTTTTGGATGTCTTTGGTCCATAACACACCTGGCCGTGCCGACAAATTGAATACCGCGCGTTAGCGCGGTATGATAATTTCTCGGCATGGCCAGGTGTGTTATAGGACAAAAGACATCCAAAAATATGAATTCAATGCTTATATTTACATTCTCTTATTTTCCTTTTTCATAATTTCTTATTTCGTTAATCTTAAATGTGAATTTAGTGCCCTTCAAAACTGCCGAGGTTAATAGATGTAAGAGCCGTTTGTGACATCAAATGACGTTAAATGACGTTTCAAAGTTAAATAACGCAAACAAACATTGCGAGGAAAAAAGTGACAATTTAATTCTTAATGCACATTACGTTAATTTTTACGTAAATTTTTCAGGGTTATAGTTTTTCATTAAATTGAAATAAAACTTTTACAGTTTGGTGTTCCTAGAGTATTGGAAATGCATGTAGTTCATACTGTGTATTCTAACGCACGGTGACAAGGTTTCGCGTGTGTTATAGAAATTTGAACGTCGTGGATTTCTAATAGATTTCATAAGAAACAAGATTTGTTTGTGAAACACTATGCGCCCGGCGGCAACAAATTTTTAAAACAACATATATTTAGCATAAAGGTCACAGTGAAGGTCACAAGGTCATTGATCTTGATGTGATTTGAAAGATCTTGATTAGTGAAGTATGCGTACCAAATATGAAGTCTATCTTTTATGGTTCAAAACTTATGATGAATGTTCAAAAAAAGATATTTTTAGCATATAAGACACATCAAGGTCACAATGTCATTGACCATGGTGTCATGTGAAAGGGCTTCATTAGTGGAGTATGCATGCCATATATGAAGTCTCTATCTTTTATGGTTCAAAAGTTATGGTGAATGTTCAAAAAGCTATTTTTAGCATATAAGACACAGTCAATGTCACAAGGTCATTGACCTTGGTGTCATGTGAAAGGGCTTCATTAGTGGGAGTATGCATGCCATATATTAAGTGTCTATCTTTTATGGTTCAAAAGTTATCGTGAATGTTCAAAAAATCTATTTTTATCATATAAGACACAGTCGAGGTCACAAGGTCATTGACCTTGGTGTCATGTGAAAGGGCTTCATTAGTAGAGTATGCATACCAAATATTAAGTGTCTATCTTTTATGGTTCAAAAGTTATGGTGAATATTCAAAAAAGCTATTTTTAGCATATAAGACACAGTCAAGGTCACAAGGTCATTGACCTTGGTGTCTTGTGAAAGGGCTTTATTAGTGAAGTATGCATGCCAAATATTAAGTCTCTATCTTTTATGGTTCAAAAGTTATAGCAAAGGTTAAAGTTTGCAATAAAACCTCTATTTTTAGCATAAAGGTCACAGTCAAGGTCACAAGGTCATTGACCTTGGTGTCATTTTAAAGAGCTTCATTAGTGGAGTAGGCATACCAAATATGAAGTCTTTATCATTCATGCTTCAAAAGTTATGGCGAAGGTTAAAGTTTGCAGACAAAAAGACAAACAGACAGACAGACAGACAG